CTCCAGATTGACTGGGTCGGACCACTCACTAAGACCTCTAGAGGAAATAAATATTTTCTCACGGTAACCTGCGCGTTTACCAAATGGGTAGAATGTCTACCAGCCCCTAATGACACAGCACAAATCACTGCTATGTTGTTAATGAATCATGTATTTTCAAGGTTTGGACTTCCCCTTAGGGTGAACTCAGACCAAGGTACACACTTCACAGGTGAAGTAATGAAGGAACTGTGGAAGACGCTAGGCGTCAAAGCCAACTTCCATATTGGCTACCACCCACAGGCTTCAGGCCAGGTTGAGAGAGCAAACAGGACTGTGGTGAGTATTTTGAAAAAATACGTAGCCGCAAACCACAAGGACTGGGACGTGAAACTCCCTCTGGTCCTCATGGCCATAAGGGCCACTCCACACACGTCGACTGGCATCGCTCCTTTCGAGATGATGACGGGTCGACAAATGACTCTCCCTCTGCACCTGCTGTACCAACCAGGCGATGCTGCCATGGCAACAGCCTACACCACACAACAATACATGAAAGACTTGGAAAGACATCTTAAAAACACTTTTGCTTTCGCACAGAAAAACCTGGAAAAATCAGCTGAAGGACGCAAAGCGTACTACGACCAAAAGGCCTCTTACGAGGAACTCCAAGTGGGAGACAGGGTCTGGTACTACACGTTTGCACCCAAAACTGGGAGAGTAGAGTCCGGGACCGGAACTCTCGCCCGTAAGCTGATGCCCAGATGGACTGGACCCCATCTGATAACCGACAAAGTGTCTCCAATTATCTACCAGATAAAAATCAGTAAAGGCCAAAAAGAGCCAACTGTTAAATGGGTACACCGTAACCAGGTTAAACAACACAAGGCATGCAATAACTCCTTAGGAGACAAAGACATCACAAAATCTGACCTCGTGGGAACAAGGGTCATCCAAGCTGAAGATAACTAATGGATAATAAAATTAACCATAGTTTAAACTCACAGGACCTACCCTTGATAAAACGGGACAGCGTGACTGAAATCTGGCAACCAGGGTGAGGAGAGGCAGTGAAACGATGTTTCTAGATGCTTAGTCACTACTCTTGTCGGTGTTGGAACGTTGTTTAGTTGATTTTGGTTGTTTCTGAGGTAAGAATGAATCTTGTGTGTAGTTAAGTTAGAGACTAGGAAGCCTTTAACCATGCCAACATGCAGTTCATTCACTAAATTGCAATCTTTGCGGAGTCAATGTATATTATTGCTACTTTGAGTACCATAATCTACATTGATCTCACAACGCTTAAGCCGAACCTACTCGAACAATTCTATTCGGGGGGATAGCTAATTCTTTTTGATAAGTCTCGCCATAGACTTCCAAAACATTTATGGGAAAACCAAACACCCAATCTCAAGTCGTTCGTCTACAAAGACAACAGACAATTACACCAAACTATATTTTACCATGTAAAGCTAACTTAAACCAAGTTAGAAATGGAAAAATAGTTTGGAACACTTTTCTATAGGCATAAACCCCTGTAGTACCCCTTTTCAGCATTCTCCACCCCTTAACTGGTAGTTGTAGCTATTCCCAACCATAATAGCATACACACCAGATGCATATAGTTTAAGGCCTTATGTAAAATCCCCTTCATAAGCCCACCTTAAACCACATAATTGCATGACACATTGAACCAGAACGGCACAGGCTGGACGTCGCTGGAGACAACCTTCGCTGGAGGCGACCTGCAATCCTGACGTTGGTCTCAACTCTTCATCCAGTGGCCGCTTCTTCAGTTCAATCCAAGGGTACCCCTCTGTATGCTGATTAATCAACACTTCCAATCGCTGTGGATTTACCGTTGTGGATTATATGACTTTTTCCAATGGATTACAGACTCTGTTTCCAAGGGGTTAAAGCATTGCTACAATGGGATTATCGAGACGATATGGGATTATAATCAACACAATGGAATACCAAGAACATTGTGGAATTACCTTGACTTTGTTTCCTTGCTGGATTACTTCTGACTTTAGTCTTCCTTGAAGGATTACTTCTGACTTTGGTCTTCCTTGCTGGATTATATCAAGCTCAAGGACATTTGAAGGTCTAAGTTCACGGTTGGAATTCATCCCCATGGACAGGTGATGATTTCCAAAGGGGGGACTGTAGTGAACCAGATAACCTCAAATCTACCAGATGGACAGAGACTGTTATTTTCATTGATCTGAATAAGTCTGAACCATCTGATGAACTTTCTTTCTTGAATTAATCAAGCAGAAAAGACAATTCTTTATAATCATTACTGTCTTACAAATGTTTTGATAATCAAATTGTGTTAGTTCACTCAATGCTTTACAGGTTGAAAAGAACTACTAATTTTTATTTTACATAAACAGTAAGTAATGATTTTTGTTCCTCATTCAGAGAAGAAATCACCTGAATATGCCTTTCTTGATTTTCTGTCTGAAATGAGCAAGCTGTCGTAAGTATGTTAAAGGTTGGTTTTCGGTCAGCTAAAATGTTTACCGAGAAAAATGTCATGTTTTACTATTTGAAAAGATTACAAAGTGTGAGACTCCACGAAGTCTGCTGTTGCTGCAATAATCTTTTCTGTATGTTGTAAACAATCCTTGACTTATGATAACATCTTACGTCACAAATCCACTCCTCTTTCTGGTCCTTCCACGAATCAGAAAGCTCTAAACTGAACAGGAAGTCGACCCAAATAAAATGTGGCACTTCCCAGTTCATGTAGGATTTTCAGAATTCCAAGAGAATGAGAGCTGACAACAGATTGAGAGTTCTGGAGAATGTGAGAGTTCCAAGATTGAGAATGCAGTCGGTTCTGAAAGCTTCAGAGCAATGAAGGATCCAGAGGTTTTTGGGGATTATAATTCTGTTTTGAGCTAATCAACGCACGACTTTCTGAAGGTTTGGTAGCTCTCGACGGAGACGCTGAAACGAGTCAGAAAGGAACTACATCCAACGCTGATTCATCGTCAACAGGTAGATGGTTCTATTTTGACCAAGTGTACCGTGAGAAGCTGAGATCGGACGGAGCGTGCAACTTCTGGTTAAACAGATTAAATCTCCCTCACATATTCCTCTGTAAGATAAATCTCAATTTACTCTTAAACTCACCTCTCTCTCATAAAACAGTACAGATATTTTTAGAAATGTCTGAAGCAAAGTCCTCAAATCACCGCCGAGTGATTTGAAGTTCATTTTCTGTGAAACTGTCTGTTATTATTTTCATATTTTGCCAAATTAATGTAAATGTTTGATGTTAAACTTTGATTTTGAAAATAAATGATTCCATTCATTTGAGGGGTCAAAGATAAATAACGTCTCTCGTTCACATTTCTGTTAAATTCAATGCACGGCATTTACAGTCAGAAAAATGAAGAACTCGTGAATATTGTATGCATATATAATTCATATATTTGTCATACAACAAGTGACACGTACCTCACGTGACTCACTACATATATATATATATATATATATATATATATATATATATATAAAGAAAAAGAAAAAGAAGGTTTAGAATTGTTATGGCAGAAACACATCTCAGTAAAGTTGGGACAGTACCAAGTTTCCCACTGTGAAGTGTCCTCTCTTCTTTTAACAACAGCCTGTTAGGACCTGAGGAGACCCAAACCCAGTTGCTGGAGATTTTGGAGGGGAATGTTGTCTTGATCTTGTCTGATGTAGGTTCAGTTCAGTTGTGTTTTTATTTTCCATTTCATGACGCTCCAAATGTTTTCTGTTGGTGAGAGGTCTGGACTTGTAACAGATGCAGAACGAGCTTCAGCAATCTCTTGCTTTGATATGCAAGAAAAGGACGTCATCTGCGTGGGAACATCTGGTTTTCTAAAACCTGTATTTACTTTTCTGCATTGATGTTGTCTTTCCAGATGTGTAAGCTGACAATGCCATAGGCACTAAAGCACCCCCATACCGTCAGAGAAGCTGGCTTTTGATCTGTGCACTGAAAACAGGCCAGATGGTCTATATATTTTAGTACAAAGCACATGGCAACCATGGTTTTTGAAAAATATTTCAAATTTTGATTTGTTTGACTACTGAACAGCTTTCCGTTTTATATAATATTTTAAATGCAGTTTTTGCAGACTGCTGTACATCTACCCATTTATACTTCTGAGAAATTCAGCTTCTCTGTAGTATTTTTATATCCAGTCATCTTACTGATCTGTTACCAATTAACCCAATTCATTGCATTCCTTCAGCTGTTTCTTATTCATACCACTTACTTTTACAACTTCTTACTGACCCTGTTTCATCTTTTTGTGATGTTTTACTACTATAAATTTTACAATTACCTTGTTTATTTCCCCAAAATAGTGTGATTTCTTAGTATAAACCAGGGCTATTCAACTGGGGGCCAAATCAGGCCCACAGGTGAACTCAGTTCATGGTTTCATTTTTAAATAAAACTAGATTTTAAACCATAAAACAAACTTACTTAATGACAATAACTGCTGGATGTCTGGCCCCTGAGTTCTTGGCTTTCAGTAACTGTGGCCCCCTGAGCAATTTAGTTGAATAGCACTGGTATAACTATGTTTATGTTCCACTGTGAATAAAATATTGACTTGATATTTGCAAATCATTGTATTCTGTTTTGTTTACTTCTTACACAAAGTCCCAACTTTTTCAGAATTGGTGTTTTAAATCTTTATGTGTGTTGTGTGTACTGTCAGGTAACCTTGCTCCACCTTGTTGTTTATGTTTAGGTGTTGGGGCTGCCAGCATGGGCAAACTGACCTTCATGGTTGGTGGACTGGAGGAGGAGTACAATGCTGCACAGGAGCTGCTCAGCTGTATGGGAGCCAATGTTGTTTACTGCGGACAAGTTGGCACTGGACAGGTGAAAGGAGATGCACAGACACTTAGACAAACTAACTTGCAAACATCATCCATTTCCTTTACTCGCTTTTCCTTTCTGAGTCACAATTTGCTTCGATGTAGACTGTCGTAACGCGGCTGCCCGAAACTTACCATCAAGTAAATAAAAGGGAATTAAAGTCACAAAACGTTCCCCATTCTCTGCCGTCTTTTTCAAAAATGGTGTAGCTGAGTTGAGGCCACTTTTTTCCTCCGCCGGTCAGAGCCACTAAATCGAGTTGATTTGGTTTACTGGAGCTCCGTTTGAATTCTGTCATCAGCCAAAAAACAAGGAAACGACTGCGTCTCCTCATAGTAGCATTGTGCTACCATTTTAATGGATGAATTTCTTTTAAAGTAAATAAAAATAAATTATGCGATTGCAAGGTTTTAAAATGGTGGGTTTGATTCCTGTGAAGGAGACACTCATGATTGATGTACTCTCTGGCCAATCAATGTCCTGCAATCTGCTGACATCAGATTTGCAGCTCAACCTGTCTCATTCAGAACCTCAGCCGTGTAGGTTCTTGTGGGGACCGCCCAATTTAAAGACTCTGCAACCTGGGCCAGACCGACCTAGGCTGAGCTAAGACAATATAAAAGGGCCAATAGAGACAAACTGAATAAACAGCCCTGATAAACATGATACACACAATAATTTCTGCTTTAGATATTTTTATTTGGAAATTAAATTGTTAGGAATATTAGCTGATCTACATGGTTGGGGTGAAGCACACTGCATTGCACTGTAACAATGAGCCTAGTAGCGCTAAACCCTTTCTCAGAAGTTTTTTATTTTTTTGGATTTTTTTATTGATAGTACAGTCACTGCAGTTCCCTTACAAAACAGTACTTGTTTCCTGAAAAAATAATGCCGCTACACAGAAGGAAGGCGAGTGATACTGATAATTTATTGTTCATACACAAATGTTACTGCCCATTTTTTTACTTAATTGCTGAAAATTGTGCTTGTGGACTTTTTTTTATTAATAAAATTGATCAGATGTTTTCCTCTCATGGATTGTGCATGTTTAAATCAATACAAAACAAAAATTATTACATCCTTACTTTACATCATTCACTCATACAAGTTTATGACCGACTAACAACTAGCATTGCTATTAGTTGCCATGTAGTCTATATCATAGAACTAATGTTTCAATATTTTGAAGCTTTATTAAAACACCAAATATAAACCTAATTATTTCAAAATATGCATTTTATGTTAATATAAAGCACTGCTTATGCTTTCTTTGGACCGGGAAGTTCAAAAATGTACGACTCGGCTATCCTTTCTGTGACGTTCCATCGTTCTACTCTTACTACTGGTTGTTTTAGAGTCAACACTTAAAACATCTTTTAATGTATTGTGAGTTTTTTTATTAATGATTTTTAAGCCACATCCAATTAAATTTAAGTGATGTCCTTCTCTCTGTTTTAAATCCTCCAGGCAGTAAAGCTCTGTAACAATATGCTGCTGGCCATTGGGATGATTGGGACAGCAGAGACCATGAACCTTGGCATCAGGTACTCAAAGCAAATGCTTGCTAACATGCTAGTTACCTGCTATGTTAAAGGCAAAACTATGCTACACCAGCAGCTTTGTCTACATAGTAAAGTTGTTTTATCTGAATGTACAATTTGGGCTTTTTTATACACTCCTCGAATGCAAGACATTACAGGTGCTGGCCATAGAATTAGAATATCATGAAAAAGTTTATTTATTTCAGTAATTCCATTCAAAAAGTGAAACTTGTATTACATTACACACAGACTGATACAAACCGGATTCCAAAAAAGTTGGGACACTAAACAAATTGTGAATAAAAACTGAATGCAATGATGTGGAGATGGCAAATGTCAATATTTTATTCGTAATATAACATAGATGACAGATCAAAAGTTTAATCTGAGTAAATGTAACATTTTAAAGGAAAAATATGTTGATTCAAAATTTCACAGTATCAACAAATCCCAAAAAAGTTGGGGCAAGTAGCAACAAGCGGCTGGAAAAAGGAAATTGAGCATATAACAAACAGCTGGAAGACCAATTAACACTAATTAGGTCAATTGACAACGATTGGGTATAAAAAGAGCTTCTCAGAGTGTCAGTGTCTCTCAGAAGCCAAGATGGTAAGAGGATCACCAATTCCACCATTGTTGCGCAGAAAGATAGTGCAGCAATACCAGAATGGTGTTACCCAGCGTAAAATAGCAAAGACTTTTAATTTATCATCATCAACCATGCATAACATCATCAAAAGATTCAGAGAATCTGGAACAATCACTGTGCGTAAGGGTCAAGGCCGTAAAACTCTACTGGATGCTCGTGATCTCTGGGCCCTTAAACGTCACTGCACCTCAAACAGGAATGCCACTGTCAAGGAAATAACAGAATGGGCTCAGGAATACTTCCAGAAAGCATTGTCAGTGAACACAATCCACCGTGCCATCCGCCGTTGCCAACTGAAACTCTACAGTGCAAAGAGGAAGCCATTTCTAAACAAGCTCAGACATTTGCACTGGGCCAGGGGTCATTTAAAATGGAGTGTGACCAAATGGAAGACTGTTCTGTGGTCGGATGAGTCACGATTTGAAGTTCTTTATGGAACACTGGGACGCCATGTCATCTGGACCAGAGAGGACAAGGATAGCCCAAGTTGTTATCAACGCTCTGTTCAGAAGCCTCCATCACTGATGGTATGGGGTTGCATGAGCAATTGTGGCATGGGCAGCTTGAATGTCTGGAAAGGCACCATTAATGCAGAGAACTATGCTCAGGTTCTAGAACAACATATGCTCCCATCTAGATGTCATCTATTTCAGGGAAGACCCTGCATTTTTCAACACGATAATGCCAGACCACATTCTGCAGCAATCACAACATCATGGCTACGTAGGAGAAGGATCCGGGTACTGAAATGGCCAGCCTGCAGTCCAGATCTTTCACCTATAGAGAACATTTGGCGCATCATAAAGAGGAAGGTGCGACAAAGAAGGCCCAAGACGATTGAACAGTTAGAGGCCTGTAATAGACATGAATGGGAGAGCATTCCTATTTCTAAACTTGAGAAACTGGTCTCCTCTGTCACCAGACGTCTTTTGAGTGTTGTAAGAAGGGGGGATGCCACACAGTGGTAAAAATGGACTTATCCCAACTTTTTTAGGATTTGTTGACGCCATGAAATTTGGGAACAACAGATTTTTCCCTTAAAATGATACATTCTCTCAGTTTAAACTTTTGATCTGTGATTTGTGTTCCATTCTGAATAAAATATTAGATGTTGGCACCTCCACATCATTGCATTCAGTTTTTATTCGCAATTTGTTTAGTGTCCCAACTTTTTTGGAATCCGGTTTGTATATTTCAAATGTTTGTTTTTTTATGGTGATGATTATAACCAACAACTAATGAAAACCTCAAATTCAGTATTTCAGAAAATTAGAATATTGTGAAAAGGTTCAATATTGAAGACACCTGGTGCCACACTCTAATCAGATAATTAACTCAAAACACCTGCAAAGGCCTTTAAATGGTCTCTCAGTCTAGTTCTGTAGGCTACGCAATCATGGGGAAGACTGCTGACTTGACATTATCCAAAATATGACCAATGACACCTTGCACAAGTAGGACAAGACACAAAAGGTTATTGCTAAAGAGGCTGGCTGTTCACAGATCTCTGTGTCAAGTACATTAATAGAGAGGTGAAGGGAAGGAAACGATGTGGTAGAAAAAAAGTGTACAAGCAATAAGGATAACCACACCCTGGAAAGGATTGTGAAACAAAACTTATTCCAAAATGTGGGGGAGATTCACAAAGAGTGGACTGCAGCTGGAGTCAGTGCTTCAAGAACCACCATGCACAGGCGTATGCAAGACAAGGGGTTCAGCTGTGACATTCCTTGTGTCAAGCCACTCTTGATCAAGAGACAGTGTCTGAAGCATCTCACCTGGGACTGCTGCTGAGAGGTCCAAAGTTATGTTCTCTGATGAAAGTAAATTTTGCATTTCCTTTGGAAATCTGGAGGAAAACCAGAGTCTGGAGGAAGAGAGGAGAGGCACAGAATCCATGTTGCTTGAGGTCTAGTGTTAAGTTTACATAGTCATTAATGGTTTGGGGGGCCATATCATCTGCTGGTGTTGGTCCACTGTGTTTTTTGAGGTCCAAGGTCAACGCAGCCATCTACCAGGAAGATAGTGCGCTTCATGCTTCCTGCTGCTGACCAACTTTATGGAGATGCAGATTTTGTTTTTCAACAGGGCTTGGCACCTGCACACAGTGCCAAAGTTACCAGTACTTGGTTTAAGGACCATAGTATCCCTGTTCTCAATTGGCCAGCAAACTCACCTGACCTTAACCCCATAGAAATCTATGAGGTATTGTGAAAAGAAGATGTGATACACCAGACTCAACAATTCAGAAGAGCTGAAGGCCACTATCAGAGCAATCTGGGCTCTCATCACACCTGAGCAGTGCCACAGACTGATCGACTCCATGCCACACTGCATTGCTGCAGTAATCCAGGCAAAACGAGCCCCAACTAAGTACTGAGTGCTGTACATGCTCATACTTTTCATGTTCATACTTCTCAGTTGGCCAACATTTCTAAAAATCCTTTTTTTTTTTATTGGTCTTAGTTAATATTATAATTTTCTGAGATACTGAATTTGGTGTTTTCATTAGTTGTCAGTTATAATCATCAACATTTAAAGAAATAAACATTTGAAATATATCAGTCTGTGTGTAATGAATGAATATAATATACGTTTCACTTTTTGAATGGAATTACTGAAATAAATCAACTTTTTCATGATATTCTAATTTTATGACCAGCACCTGTATATGGTATTGTCTCTGTCTGTCCATTCATAAGTAAACTTTCTTTTGTCCAGCCCATAACTTCTGATACACATTTGCATCATCACTAGATGAAGTATCACATACACTTTTAATCACCCCAGCTCCATGGTCAAAGTCGCAAATAAAGGTAAAATGTTATACAGGTCCTTCTCAAAAAATTAGCATATTGTGATAAAGGTCATTATTTTCCATAATGTAATGATAAAAATGAAACTTTCATATATTTCAGATTCATTGCACACCAACTGAAATATTTCAGGTCTTTAATTGTTTTAATACTGATGATTATGGCATACAGCTCATGAAAACCCAAAATGCCTGTCCCAAAAAATTAGCATATTTCATCCCACCAATGAAAGACAAGTGTTTTTAATACAAAAAACGCCAACCTTCAAATAATCATGTTCAGTTATGCACTCAATACTTGGTCGGGAATCCTTTTGCATGTATGACTGCTTCAGTGCGGCGTGGCATGGAGGCAATCAGCCTGTGGCACTGCTGAGGTGTTATGGAGGCCCAGGATGCTTCGATAGCAGCCTTAAGCTCATCCAGAGTGTTGTGTCTTGTGTCTCTCAACTTTGTCTTCACAATATCCCACAGGTTCTCTATGGGGTTCAGGTCAGGAGAGTTGGCAGGCCAATTGAGCACAGTAATACCATGGTCAGTAAACCATTTACCAGTGGTTTTGGCACTGTGAGCAGGTGCCAGGTTGTGCTGAAAAATGAAATCTTCATCTCCATAAAGCTTTTCAGCAGATGGAAGCATGAAGTGCTCCAAAATCTCCTGATAGCTAGCTGCATTGACCCTGCCCTTGATAAAACACAGTGGACCAACACCAGCAGCTGACATGGCACCCCAGACCATCACTGACTGTGGGTGCTTCACTCTGGACTTCTGGCATTTTGGCATTTCCTTCTCCCCAGTCTTCCTTCAGACTCAGTCCACTGCTTCCGCAGGTCTCCCAAGGTCTGGAATCGGCCCTTCTCCACAATCCTCTTCAGGGTCCGGTCACCTCTTCTCGTTGTGCAGCGTTTTCTGCCACACTTTTCCCTTCCCACAGACTTCCCACTGAGGTGCCTTGATACAGCACTCTGGGAACAGCCTATTCGTTCAGCAATTTCTTCCTGTGTCTTGCCCTCTTGCTTGAGGGTGTCAATGATGGCCTTCTGGACAGCAGTCAGGTCAGCAGTCTTACCCATGATTGCAGTTTTGAGTAATGAACAAGGCTGGGAGTTTTTAAAAGCCTCAGGAATCTTTTGCAGGTGTTTAGAGTTACGTCATTGATTCAGATGGTTAGGTTAATGGCTTGTTTAGAGAACCTTTTCATGATATGCTAATTTTTTGGGACAGTCATTTTGGGTTTTCATGAGCTGTATGCCATAATCATCAGTATTAAAACAATTAAAGACCTGAAATATTTCAGTTGGTGTGCAATGAATCTGAAATATATGAAAGTTTCATTTTTATCATTACATTATGGAAATAATGACCTTTATCACAATATGCTAATTTTTTGAGAAGGACCTGTACAAGATCTTTGCTTGTCCATGTTATTGCTATAGACTGCTATAGTTTATGAGTGTATAATGTTCCATGTATGGTGCTCTTGGTTAGAATAAGTTCTAACATTTGACGCATCGAGTCATGTATGGGAATTGCCAACCT